CGACGAGCACACAGGAAGAGGAGGCAGCTGGCGCTGTTCACTACCGCCGGGCCAGGATCGCTGCAGACTGGTGGCCGCTCGTCGTCGCCTCCGGCCTGGCGCGTGCGGGCTCCACCGCTGCTGGCCTGGCGGGCTGCGCCGCCACCGGCCATGCGCGTGCGGGAGTTGCCACCGCCGCCGAGTGCACGGCAGACGCGCGAGCATGGCAGGGCGAGGCACCCTTGGCCACCGGCGTGGGCGTGGCCGGCTCTTGATCTTGGGATCTTTGTCGGCGGCGGTGTAGCTGCGATGCGCAGTAGGGGCCGCCGCCGATCCGAAGCTCGTCTTGGTCACGAAGAAGAGCTTGAGGAGGAGGCAACGATGGCAGTAGCAAGCGCCGACCTGCGTAGCTGGCTAACACGAGCGCCCGGGAGGAGCGGCGATGGTTCGCGAGAATCAAGCGCACGGGACTACAGGAGGGCTGGTTCGACGGCCCGATGTAATGTTGCCCGAGATCCAACGGTCGAGTTTTGAGGCGACGTGGACGAATAGGGGCTCGAGAATCCCAGCCGATTGTGTCTTATAGAGATTCCGTTGCAAATATTGACGTATATAACACTAAATACGGTACTTTATATAAAGTAAAATAATTTGCAACGTTTCTAGAGATGACACTTAGCGTGGCGCCCAATGGAATAAAGCACGTTCACTACTACAGAATTGACAATCACTGCTGGTTTCTCATGAGTTGATAGTGATAACCCTTCACTAAGCGGCAAGGAGCCAGAGAGGCCTAAGAGCGTAGGAGTTTGGCAGGTTTGTCAGGCTCATGGGCCTGCTCGACATGGCCCGAGGCTTAAAGGGTCGTGCCTGCGGGGCACCACGTGGGTGGGCGGTTGTGACGAACCCATGCCTAATGGGGGCGTGTAATGCCAGGTGGCTTGTGTGGCCATCTATACCATCCGTTTCAATTTATAAGGTTGGACATGTATCATGATTCAAGTTTTACCATCTTTGACCAATAAATTGACCCACAACTACTATAATATAAATTTGATAGTTTCATATTTATAATAAAAAATCCAATAATCATAAGTTGAAAACCACAAGTAATATAATATAAAATAAATAAATGATTAAAGTAAAATTTGTGAGACCATGTGATGCTAAAATATCGTCTTATAAACTGGACCGAAGGAGCTCCGGATAGCCGCCCAAGTTGTACGCCGCACTACAACACATGAACAATGTTGTTATAAAAACACATTAACAATTTTCCACCAGCCTACTCTCCCGTGGGGAAGATAAATATAAAATCAAGAAGAATAAAAATAAAAAAAGAGGAAAACAAAGAAACAATAACAAAAAGGAAATTGCAACAGAAATGAGCGACGAACGGCCCAGAAGGCCCGTTCGGGTGCGCGCTCCCTTGGGCCAACAAGTCCGGACTGGGCTACAGCCGCCCGCCGGATCCTTTCCCTTCACGACGCGTGCGTTTCTAAAAAAAAAAAGAACAAAAAAGAAAAAACCCTTCACGACGCGTGCGCTCTCTCTCTCTCTCTCTCTCTCTGCGCCTCCCGCCGCCGCCGCCCTACGCCAGTTGCCGAGGCCCTTCGTCGGTCTCTTCGCCGGCGACGAGCACCAGGTATTCCCACTCCTTCTCTTCCCTTCCATGCTGTGCGAAACCGAGCTCTCAAACCCTAACGTAATTGCTGGTTCCGCCCCAGGTACGTTTGATTAGTACCATACGGGCGAATTAATTAGAAATAGATGAGTTTATTAAGCGAAATCCGCCCCGCTCCATTGCCTCCACGGGCAGATACACGGCTGTCAGCTGCGAAAGATGCCTCAGTGCACAAAAAAAAGAGGCCACCGAGCCCAGCCGTTGACCCTTGCTGCACCACAACGAATTGTGTGTGCGCGGGCACGGACGAACAATATGCAGTGAAAAGATCTTCTCCGAGAGGTGAGATGCACAGCCGTAAAAAAAAAATAGATAAGAAAAAACGCCCAGTGAAATAGGGCGCGATTGTATCTGCCCCGTGGTGGCGTGTGCTAGACATTAGCACACTGAGCTCTTTTTTTTTGCTTTTCTCAATTCTATGTGTTTAATGCCAGACAAACTTTGTTGTACCTAGAACTGCCTCTATTACCCACAGACCACATAAAGTTTGTTGTGGTCTGCACATGATCTGCACTGGTAGATCCAAGCTGCTGCTGGGGATGTTTTATTCCCTTGAACACTAAGGCAAAAAGTAATTCATTGGATGATATATTGGTCTGTAGATTGTGCAGGAGTTCTCAGTTTTAATTTGCTGATCAACCAACCTGCATATTAGTATGTAGGAGCCAATATATATACAGCACAAATTAGTTTGTGTAGACAGTTGTTTTCGTTCAATAGCACAAATCGCAGATTGAGTTAATATCAATCTTTTGTGGTTTATATAACATAATGGTTTATAAGTAAAGAAAATAGATGTTCGAGAAAAAAAAAAGAAAATAGATCCCAACAAGGGACTGTACATCCTTGTCTTGCGCAAACATAAGTTGTACCGTTGGATTTTGATGTTACAAACATTGCAGATCCTGCAAGTCAGGCAGCATCATGCCTGGTTCTCAGCGGCTGCAGTGATTTTCTCTGTGACAAATAGAATTTTGATTGTAAGAACATACAAAGTTATTCTTTACAAGTTATTTATAACCTTGTGGGGAAAAATACACGTTCTGAAGAAGAGATCTAAATTGTCTGTATACCTCACTGTCACTGCTTCTCTCTCGTTATTAATACCCTCCTCCACACCTTGCCATTTCGTCAAAGCTCAGAGAGAAGGGGAGCAGCAAGGAGGTATCATAAATTTGTGCTCGTAAACATGGATAGCTTCTGGACTCTAGAAGTTCAAGGCTTGTCAATGCAAATCATGTTATAGGTGGTGTAAATAGTGACCCTTTATAAACCTTCTGTAGATAAATGCATATATAGAATGTTGTCACAAATGTTTATGTGGGACTGGATTTTTTTAACTTAAAAATTCAATCATACTATTACTGAATGGGCAAAGAAATTAGTGAATTAATCTTGCATTATGTGATACTTTCTGAGTATTATATCAATGTAAACATTACCTTTTAGATGAAGTAGAAAATGAGGATTAAATTGACATGCACATCATGGTATTATTTTCAAAATTCAGATCAGATCACACAGTTGCACCTAATGCTACAAAGATCAATAGAAAGTATGGCTAAAATGTGCACACATAGGTTCTACAAAGACCAGGTCTCTCTCTGAATTCTCTTAAACCAGTCCACAAGCTTGACCTCCGATCGAGCGAGTGCTAAATTGTCAGCACCAGCATACCATATATCACCATCAAGTTTAGCTGGCTTGTTGATCAGTCATAAGTTCAACAACCTACATCAACGTTTATCTGAAGGAAAAAAAACATCTATAAATTAGGTGAGTTACCAGTTTGGCACTGAATAAAGGTTGCCTTATAAGCAGAAATACAGTTCAAACCATGAGCATTATGTCAGGAACCCTTCACTTTCTCACGGTCTTTTGAATCTCTATGGCGTTTGTGATGGCCATTGGCTCTGTCGCTGTTGCTGCGTGTGAGAGGCCTCTTGACTTCCCTAACCCCTATGGTTATGATTCCAAGATATATGTGTTTATGTTTGTGTTCTCATTTTATACTATGTGTTTTTTTTTGTCACTGTTGCAGACTGCGAGTAGAGTCTTACCGCCTGTGACCTCAAGGTCACGGGTTCGAGTCGCGGTCTCCCCGCATTGCACAGGCGAGGGTAAGGCTTGCCACTAACACCCTTCCCCAGACCCCGCACAAAATGAGAGCTCTCTGCACTGGGTATGCCCCTTTTTGTTGCAGACTGCGAGTCCCCAAACTCACCAGGACGTCTTTCTTTTGGAGGATGGTGCCCTCCCACGCGGAGATGATATCTTCTGTGAATGTGTGAACGAGAGAGGTGAACTCAGACAAAGTTAGCTGATGGAATGTGTGGGTGACACCCCAAGTTCCCAGTTTCGGCCCTTTGTATGATTCAAATGTGAATATGTATTCTGTTTTATGTAGTACGTTAGAATTAGAAGTACAGGTTTGTCTTTGAGGAATTTAAGAGTACAGTTCATTCTACACTTGTTTCATTTGACGTGTATGTGGAGTGGCTGAGCGGCATGCTTTCATAAGCTGAGATATTTTGGCCCTGTTCGCTTCGGAGGAATTTTGATGAATCTAGAGGAATTTGTGAGAGAGTGAACAGTAAAAACCAGCCATGCACAGTGAAATCCGGCTGGTTTTCACACCAGCCGAGGACTTGCCTGATGTCATTGATGACATCATGAACATTTTATGTTGTCAAATTGAAAATATTGCTCTTTGTCCCATTAGTCAATTCCATATATTTTTTTAATTTCTCCCCACATCTGGGATGAGAAATAACTTATACACTTCTAAGTGAATAATGTATGTTATAAGAAAACTGAATAATGTAATATTTATTGATGTTTCTACTTGTTAAGGTTTATCCAAATCTTATCTTATAAGATAAGCGCATGAATTTTCTCCAACATCAAGCAAACGACAAGAAGTTCGGACAACCTACCAATCCTTATTGTTACTAAAAGGGTTTTGAATACAGTGTATATTAAGCACAAGAATTTCAACTTAATATGTGCATAAAAAATTATATTATAGCCCTCTATAATGTATCATATAACTCTATCTCTGCATGTTTTTATTTTTCTTACCAAACATTAAACAGTACATTTATCCCAGAAACTTGTACTACTCCGAAATCCATATGGGCCCAACCTATGAGGTCCTGAATAAACCGATGAACAGAACAAGTTAAATCCTCCGGTTTGAAAAGTTGCATGGCTCATAATTTCTTCCCTTCTCTTAATCATAGCTACAAATAGCACCAAAGCTGCTACTACACCAATTCAAGTCAACACTGAAGCAAGGTCTCTGCTTGTGAGCAAAGAGGGAAGCACGCCCCAAACCATGACGCTGAGAACCGGAGCAGCTCGCTTCATCACCCTTCTCTGCTTGTGGCTGGCTGCTTTGATGGCCATCGGCGCAGTCACCGTCGCCAGAGCTGATTCCAGCTGTGAGAGCTTCACAAATCCCTATGCTTTCAACGAGCATGCCATTTTTCCATTCTCTTTTGTTTCAGGTTTAGGACTGAATTTGTGTCTGCTATTGCAGATTGTGAATCACCAAATCCTCCGGGGATAACACCAAAAGGAACTTGTCCTCCCCCACAAAGATAAGAAAAGGCCACTAAGGGCTCCTTTGGATACGCGAAAACCCGTCGGTATCCTCGCCGGTCCACGGATGGAGAAACTCCCCGTGAGTTTGCTTCCCCGTCTAAACCCGGCACCCGTTTGGAGTCATGCGAGCCAGAAAAAGCGCGTGACTTTCTAGACCCTATCCTTCTCAATCGACGGGGGACAGAAAAAACTCCTTCGCGCCCGTTTATTTCTTTCCATGTCTGCTTGGCGCTCGCTCGGTCCTTCCTCGCTGCTCCCGTTTGCCTCGCCCAGGAAAGCATGGTGGCTAGGGTTTGAGCGCCGCCGTCTCCATCGCTCGCGCCAGCCGTTGTCGTCCCAGCCCCTCGTCACGCCGCCGCCGCCACTCCCGGATCCTACTCCGACTTTGATCCGGGCGCACTTCCTGGATCGTTCCTGCCCTCGTCACGCCGCCGCCGCCGCTTGTAATCCTCTGTTTTTGTTTTTCAAATAGTGCACTGCAGCTGCATTTCAGAGTGTCAGTAGTAACCGACCATTGGAGAGTTAAGGTAAAGCTCAGTTGTAGACTTCGTGTTTCGGTCAGTTCTGAGATTTCTTTGTAGTAGTTGTTTGTTTTCCATCGGTTGCTAGCTGTCTTAGCTTCTGAATATTTAGGCTTTTGAGAATAGTATTCACAGTTCAGTTCAATGAGTACTTTTCGATTTGTTTGGATAGCCTGTTAGCAGTAACACTTTTTATTAGATTAATTATGTTTACTCATTTCTTTCGTTTGCTTCCGTGATGTTTAAGCAAGTACTAATTGTTCGTAAGGTCAGTATGTCACAAGTTGGCATATGTGACACAATTAGAAGAGGGACGCGTTGGGTAATTTTGGAACATAGGCTTCAATTATAAATACATAAGTAGGCCAAAATATCTCAGCTAGTATAGAGCTAATGCTAGATATAAGGGTCACACTATGAATATGTGGACATGCCTATGTTATTAGTTCACCCATGCTTGCAGAATTAGTACTGCTACATGTGGTCTTGTTCGGCTCAGAGAGAAAAATAAAGTACTAACACGTAATTTATTATAAATACATAAGTAGGCTAATATCTCAGCTCGTTTCTATTTGCAACTTTTAGATAATGGGCTCTAGGAAGGAGAAAATTAGAAAATTCATACAGATAAAAGAAGAAGAAGATGATGAATTGTTTCTTGTCATTGTTCCTACAATACTTGAATGTCTGAATGAAGAGAAGAGGCCAGAGCATACCTCCGAGTATATGGTGCTAAGAAGGTGAAGGAAATTAGGCACGAGAATTGGTGTAAATCTGAGTTTCGTATGGAGACACGAATATTTAAGGAGACATGTAACTATCTTAGGCGTAAAGGTTTATTGCGTGACACATGAGGTGTTACTATTGAGGAGCAGCTAGGGATGTTTATGTATATGATTTCACACAATGCTAGCAATGATAGACCCAAGAAGGCATTTCAGCATAGTGGTGAAACTGTCCACAGGCACATAAGGGTAGTTTTCAATATCATTCCCAGTCTCACCTATAGATTCCTAAAGCTTCCCACTTCCAACCAAACTCACCCCAAGATCGCCAACCTACTTATATACCAGAATCTGATCATGTTAATCTGCCACAAGGAGATGATAATCATCAAAATGATGTGCAGTCACTGAATTTACAAGACCATGCTGCAAACGTGCTAAGAGATCAGATTGCCATGCAAATGTGGGAACGCTACAATCCCTTGTGTAAGAATTTTATGGTACTATGAGAAGTACATGGTCTTGTAGAATTTATTTATGAAATCTGACCTTCTGCCAGTGCCTAGTGCTGCAATTGACTGTTGGAGTTTCTGTGAGTTTTACAGTGTCTTTGACTAAAAATGAAAACCCAAATGCCTAATTTTACAGTACTCTATAAAGCAGGAAGCTTTTCATTAATTTGGCTGTACAAGCAAAGTTTCTAATCTAGTGTGCATTTAGAAGAATGATACTTTTGGCTATATGATAAAAAGTTATCCTTTGCAAATCCTTGTTCTAGAGACATGAAACTTGCCAATAAAAATGAGCATCTGAATTAGCTTCAATCTGAGTTTACATTGCACTATTTTATAAATATTACATTGCATCGACTAATAGTGATTTTTCTCCATCCAATTGTAGGGCTGATTCTATACGCTCTAGCTTGCTGATGCTGGTTGTGAGGGATAGATTGTAGTGCAGTTATGCCGAGACAGTTGTTAATTCTCTCTGGTTATGCAGTAAGAATAATGTAATATGTACTTTTGTTGTAAACCTGTGGGCTCTTGTATGTTTTCTTGGGTTGCTTAACACACTCATCTAAAGCCAATGGTGATGACCAGCTGTGAGATGAACCGGTGGACTCTTGTGTAAGATCGAAGTTCATCTGATTGTTTACCCTATGAGATGAATAATGTGTGCTTTGAATTAGTGTAATTGATCTTCTTTTATCCAATTCGTGTATCATACTATTGAAAGATTATTCATGGCACTGATTTTCAATTTTGCAATCGCATTTTTGAAATCTTCATTTTTTCTAATTTTTTTGAATATTTTTTGCTTGGCCGGGATTTGTATCTCTCGGTGGTTTCCAAACGGTGGCCGGTAATCCCCGCCCCCCCCCCCCCCACCAAGGGAATTCCGTCTCTTCGGGGGCAGGGGTGGCTGGTGCAGTGAAGAATTTCCCTTGAGGGCTCAAACCCACGTGGTTTTGGGGACCCTGCATCCAAAGGAGCACTAAAGGATTTATTTCTTCTCTCTACATGTCCGAGTGAAGCAAGCAGACAGAGGAACCGAACCAAGCCTATCCGTTATTTTGGTGTTTGCTTTTGTTTTATTTAATTAAATAACTAGGATTATGCATATGGGTTGCAACAGGATAAAAAATATAATACTACTATGTTGTACTGCTAAAAAAACTTGGAGTGTGATGTTTGTAACATTCCGTTTATATAGCCAGTCATGAGTCTTCATGAAGCATGAACAATTAGAATATAGTAATCAAGTTTTGATGTGAAATCGAAACAATATAGTTCACATCATTATGACTGTACAAGTGGGAAGATGAATGTGTATTACAAACTGAATTATATGCATGACTGAGACGAGAAAATTGTATATTTGAGACTCCAATTGTCGCGCTTCGTAGTTCTAGGACTCCAAATGTCCACTTCGTAAAAATGGGCCTCCAAACATTGCACTCTTGATTTTATTGACATTATGTATATTTTCTTTCTTTTCTAGTATGTATATACATGTATTTGTGACCTGGACGGACCCTTTTGCCCCTGTGACCTCACGTACACGAGATCTCCATGTACGTGAATGCAATCTACGAAAAAGAAAAACCGATCGAAACTTTCGTCTCTGGCCGCCGCGGCGCCGCCGCACGAGGCCATCTACATGAGACTCCCGCCGGCCATGGAAGGCCAGCCGCCGGACAACCTCGACGCGCCAGCCATGGACGCCCCGCTCGCCCAGGATGTGGCCGCAGGAGCCATGGCCTCGGCCCTCGGAGCCCTGGTCACGCCGATCCCTAGCCTGGCCGCGACAGACCCTGGCCTGGCCGCGCCCGACGCCATGGCCATGGATTGCGCGAATCCCCACCGCCGGCCACTGCGATCGCCCTAGCGAGGTCTCTGCTGCCCACCGCTCCTCCTCCGTCAATACAGTACAGTCTTCTTGCCTTCCAGGGGCGGCGGCGGCGGCGGCCTGCTTGCCTGCCTGCCAAGGCGGCGAGCGTCCAGGCGTACGTATGAGCACGTACCAGCAGCCACGGCACGGGTCATGTACGTACGAGCGGCACGGCAAAACATCATAAGGGCAAAAAGTTCATTGAGTGACAAATACATGGAGAAAATGCTACAAAAGGGAGAAAATACACACAATGTCAAGAAAATCAAGAGTCCAGCGTTTGGAGGGCTATTTTTACGAAGTCGATGTTTGAGTCCCAAAATTACGAAGCGCAACAATTAAAGTTCCAAATATGCAATTTTCTCCCTCCTGGTCATTTCCAAATTTTGACAGGTAAATTTTTTTCAAAAAATCAGGTTTGGAATACCTGGTGGTACTTGAGTAGCTCGAGGATGGCGAGGACAATGTTATTAACATAGCAGAACCCGGAGGCCTCGCACTTCTTGGCGTGGTGGAGTCTGTGCCGGCCCAGTTGATGGCGATGTCATGGCGGCGCCGCCAATGGAGCCCCCCGCGTAGGTCTACACAGCGTTGAAGTGCTTGAGCGCGCGGATTTGGTCCTGCTGCGTCTCGGGCCGATGCTTTCTCCTCGGTTGCCGCCGCGTAGGGTGGGTAGACAAAGGGTCACGCGTTGGGTACAAACAGCCGGGTACAAAAGAAACGGGAGAAAAAAAACAGGATCAATGACTAATGCGTAAGATCTTAATAGGAACCATTAGATTAAATGAGATTAGGGCATCAACAGTTCAGATATTATGTGGGTATAACTTATTTGGGTACATGATATGTTTTCAATTCCTTTGCTCTTTTACAATTCCTTTGTTCTTTTACAGTATAGAGTATACATATAGAGGAATAGATAAGGATATAAGTTATTTTTGATAAATGTTGATAAAAAAGCTTTGTTGCACGTCTTATTAAGGGGAACACATTGACTTTAGTTCTAGGCCAAGTTGCAATGGTTGTGTGAGGAGAAGAAGATGATGTTGGAAGCATGCCATAAGTTGGAGAATGCAGCTATCGTTTGGATGGATTTTATTTCACGAATTGAGTTATGAGTCAAATTTGTTGGTAAACTTGGTTGGGTATATGTCGTGTGATCTTTATAATAGTAAGTTGGTCCGGTTCTTTGTTCTAGAGAATGAAGCCGGTTTTTTCTTCCATTATCTAAAAACACCAATTAATGGCATAATGTATTTTTTCTATAAAGATTAGTACTAATAGGATCACCAGGACTAAGCCTGCCACACAAGCCTAATATTCTAATAGATCCTTAATTGAAACAAGCTCTGAATCTGAATCC